CGCGCGAGGACACGTGTAAAGCACGACCTGATCCGCGCACTTACACGTGTCCCCGTGCGTCGATTCGCCAATTCCAAAAGGACCACCGATTGTAGGGATACTGCTTGATTGGATACGGCCATCCGGGGCCTGCGACGGAGCAATCATCTCATGCGAACACGCGCAAGCGCAACTCGATCCGCGTGGCTTGCACGAGCTCGCACACGGTAATCGCAATCAACAGGGATCTCGCAGTCCCAGGATGACACAATGACACGCTCCGGGAGCTCAGATTCATCATACGACCCGGAATACTTCACCCCGTGGATTGAGGAGTGCCTCCGACAGAGATTCCCTTGCCTGACGGAGAATCGACTGTGTCCTAGGGAGTTTCACTGCGCCAAAACTAGCGACCCCCGGTGCTCTGATTTCCCCACTCAGGACCACACCCACTACTTCACCCATCCTGGATTTGTCGTTATCTCCACTAGCTTCCCTCCTTTCCGTCTTCTTCTCCCATACCAGTCCCGTGGCCGGCCATAGCCCCATACTGGCCCAGCACGCCCTGCAGAAATTGTCGACGACCAGAGAGCCCCGGACGCCCGAAGGCCTAACCCAAACACGCGGCGACCTGCGCCACGTGGCAACTTCCGACGGCCTGACTCATCAGGACCCCACCCACCCCGGAGTGACCTTCCGACGAACCGCCGTCCTCAGAACCAATGGATCGCACGACCTTGAATGACCTGCGCATGCCATCTGCCTTATGACCAAAAGTGGTCCGCCCTCTCTGCCAAATTGCACTCGTGTCCCGAAAAACCCTGCCACAAGAGATCTCAGTTCTGACCTGGGACTCCACCCCCACTTTCCAAAAATCCTTGGCACACCCCTTTTCGCACTTCCAGGCCCACACTCTACTCCGATCAGGAAGTCGCGCTGGGCGTGAGGTTGGGCGTCACAACGTCCCATCAGGGAGATTCAATTTAGAGAAGGTGAATAATAGAGAAGGCTTACAGTCGCCCTTTAAGGAAAAATGAGAGTTGTAAGGAAGCAGCGACGATTGGAGAGCAGGAGAATAGAATAGGAGAAAGAAGAGATGGGGAGAGAAGGGGTTTCAGAGGAAATAACAACAGGTGGCAAGAAAAGGTACGGAACAGGAGTTGGAGTATGGAATAGGAAAAAACCGAGGCAGGAGGGAACAAAGATCTGAGAGCAGGGAAAACATCTGTTTAAGGAAAGTATGCACCACCCCCAGAGGCTACCCTGACTTCCCACACCCCACTCCTTCACTCAATCTCTCCCTCCCCATCTGCCGCATCTGTTGCAGGTCCTGACTGATTAGCCACTAAACTCAACGAAGAAAATTGAGAAGAAGAAGGATGGAGAGGTGCAAAGGTAGAACAGGGAAGAGAGCTTGAGATTTGGGCCTGATCCATGGTTGCCATTTGTTGTACCTGATCGCGATGCTTTTTGGCCATTTTAGCCATCTGAGTATGCATCTGACTCATTTCATCAAGTAGTTGGGAGTTCATTGAGCAAATGGTAATCTACAAGGGCGTGCATATACTTGACCACATCCTTTTAACGTCTGCTTTGCCTCTTCCTCTTTTTCCTCCTCAGCCACTGCCTCTGGTAGAGGGCCTCGTACAACGGTTTTTCTGCCTCACTCGCTGCATCCATACGAGCCTTCGGAATATCAGAAAGCTTGGTGGATGCCATATTGGAACTACTAGCTCCTTCAGTTGTCATCTCTATGGGCATATAATGGACTTCAATAAAAGAAACAAATTGAAAGCACAGAAGAGAAGGTAAAACTCCTAGCTGGAGTGGCAAAATATTTGGACTAGAGAGCAACGAACAACAATAAAAAAATAAATACATCCAGAAGAGAGTTCTGACTCCGCGTTTTTGTCCGGTCAGATAAAGTACGAGATCCCCTCGAGCCTAATCCAATCGACACCGTCAAAGTACAACAAATCAGACCACAAGTAACATCATAAAGCAATGGAGAATTGAGTGGTGTATAAGGTGCAGATCAAGTATTGGATTGTGCGTCATCAGTCCGCAAAACATCTCAACCGAGATCCCCTCAGCAACGAGTGCTCTAATAAAAAAAAAGAGTAACGTATTCCAGACAGAAAAGAGAGCGACACTGCGTCAATAGATTTGGGTCCAAGGGGCTCTTGTTTGGGCCTGGTCCCACTGAGTCCCCATGGGTCCCATGCAGGTCGCGACCAAGTCCCAAGCAAGAAGAGTACCTCAAGGTCCTACTTTCTGCCTCTACCGTACTAAGAAACAAATTTCAACTTCAAGAGAGAACCTACAGACTACATCCATTCAGAATGAAAAGACAAAGCACTGTAGAAAGATATGGCATACTCCTTTGAAGTCTTGGTTGTGTGCATTGTTGTGCAAATTGCTTACTATCCTGATGGATGTAGAGATGAAGTATCTTGCTTTGAATGTCATATCTTTCTACAATGCTTTGTCTTTTCATTCTGAATGGATGTAGTCTGTAGGTTCTCTCTTGAAGTTGAAATTCGTTTCTTAGTACGGTAGAGGCAGAAAGTGGAACCTTGAGGTACTCCAAAATCCTACTTTCTGCCTCTACTGTACTAAGAAACGAATTTCAACTTCAAGGGAGAACCTACAGACTACATCCATTCAGAATGAAAAGACAAAGCACTGTAGAAATATACCTCAGGTCCTACTTTCTGCCTCTACCGTACTAAGAAANGGTCCTACTTTCTGCCTCTACCGTACTAAGAAACGAATTTCAACTTCAAGAGAGAACCTACAGACTACATCCATTCAGAATGAAAAGACAAAGCATTGTAGAAAGATATGATATTCAAAGCAAGATACTTCATATCTACATCCATCAGGTTAGTAAGCAGTTTGCACAGCAATGCACACAACCAAGACTTCGGAGTAGTAGGAAAGAGACCAAGACGTACCCCAACACAAGAGAAACAATACGATGCACGCATACATGGGCAACCCTTAGGTGCACGACACTTACCCGAGTGGCCCAGACTCTGAGATGAAGTATAACTCACCCCCCTTCCTCATATGGTCCTCCTAACCCTATTCGCTACCTCTACACTAGTGTCCTATCATGTAGGCGGGTCTGACTCCAGCACCAGAGTGCAACGCCGGATCCCCCGCCGATGCTGAAGAACAAAGTAGCAACTTGCAGTCCGTATGTGCAGAATGGCTACCTCCCTCAAGATCGCCTACTTGAGGGAGATCCTCAAGTCACCAAGTGTCTCCCTTAGGTCAGATTCCAGGTGTGAGTGCCTCTCACCGTCGCATCTCTCAACTTGTCGCATGAAGTCCTCTTGATGTGTCTCGCCACCACATACTCACTCTCAATCAACCTGGTCAGGTTCAGTGTCGACCCAACACGACCTAACCAGGTGGGGGCAGCTTCCCCTCTCCACGCTGCCCCACTTCCCACTTCAGACCAACCCTAACCCTAAGTGGTCAGCCCTAACCACTTAGGTTAGGGTTAGGGTGGATAAGTCAACTCTCACCAGCAAGTAGAATCCGCTCTGATACCAATGTTATGATCCTGGCCAATTTCGAAGTACGCATTCAGGAGAAAGTACAATGCCGTCTGATTGCAAAAAGAAATGAATGAACTTGAGAGGAGAGAGAGGGTAAGAAGAAGAAGAAGAAGAAGAAAGAAAGCACAAGAAGATGATGTACACCAGCATAGACCAATGATAATGCTCTTCTTCTTCGCCAACCACTCTCCTCCTCCTTATCTTCTCCCCTCTTATTCAAACAAGAATAATAATAACAATGTTGAATGGCTGAACCAGAATCAATGTCCGATTCCCTCTTCTACTGCAGGGATCACTTGAGGTCCACCATAGCCATGGCCGCCCCTCTCTCTCTTCTCTCTCATAGGCCGAGGCTATGGCGGACTACCAGGGCATCGCCCTGCTGTCCAAAGGACAACACAAAGCAGCTATGGTTGCTCTAGCTCAGGCTGCCATGCCTGACTTCTGCCTCGAAGCTTCTTGGTGTAGCTCTGCCCCAACGGGGCCTTCCTGCTGCAGCGCCCACCAAGGTAATGAAGATGGCAACCACCATAGCCAGGTAAGTACCTATGGCACTCCCCTTCCTAGTCCTGGTCTTCTTCCTCCTCCGTGTCCTTGCTCCTTCCCCAGCAGCACAGCTGAATGCTAACACTGCTCCAGCCAGCGCTCCAACCAGTGTGTCGCCAAACTTGCACACCGACAATGAGTAGCAACTGGCTCCTCGTGGAGATATAGCGGCCTGCTTGCCTCTTGGCGAGTGACTTCCTAGGCTGCACAGCCTCCAAGCAACCGGTACCTGCTTCCCTTTCGGACGGAAACATCATTGCAGACTCTGATATTGCCCGTACACGCCCTAGACTCAGACTGGTTGGACTGGTACCCGCCTAGACCTAGCCTACAACTACTGGGCCTCTAAAAATGCCAACATTTGTCTTCTTCTGATCGGCCCCAAGTACCTGACACATCTACCTCTACCTTGTGTTGTACCGGCCTACCTGCTACTTGAGTGTTTCCCGCTGCTTCAAGTGTCGCGGGCCTCTTTCCCTGCCACTTGAGTGTTTTCCCCCACTGCAGTCCTCAATGTCACGGCCACAGATAAGTATCGCCCTTCGGGCCCACTGAACGAACAAGTGCCCTTGTGGGTCACACACACACTGAAGTCAACAAACACTCAGACAGACATGCAGACCACCAAGCGTGCACACACACAGACTTAGAGAACTCAGTAACAAGCGGGAAACTCAGCAAGGCATTCATTCCATGAGCAAAACTCAGAAATCAGCTGTGTCTCAGTCCGTGTTTGGTCAGGTCATTACAGGCGTCGAAAATCGTATGTGCCCGGACATTGAGAAAAAATATGGCCATCATGGCAAACAAAGGCTCACAGTGCACAGAATGGATAGGTAAGTTAAGGAAATTGGTTTTGCCTTCGAAAAAAAATCAGCAGCTGAAAGGTGACTAAGTCAGACTAACCGTTTGAGCCGCTGATAACAACAGCACTGCTCTGGGAGTTCCAGAAGCTGCAACGTCGCACAAAAGATTGGTACCCAACATTACCAAGACGGTCAAATCTGATAACATTGCCGCTAATCGTAGGGCCACCTATACCAGCTTGACCGCTGTTCTTGAACAGGACATCTGATATCTGCAGCATACAAGAGCATAGACAAGGGCTATTAGCAGAAGGATAATTGAAGAAGTGGTGCATGAAGATACCTTCTCAATCGAAACAAAAAAAAAGGAAGGAAGAAGAAGAAGAAGAAGAAGAAGAAGAAGAAGAAGAAGAAGAAGAAGACGGCGAAGAAGAAGACGACGATGACGATGACGACGGCGGCGGCGAAGAAGAAGAAGAAGAAGAAGAAGAAGAAGAAGAAGAAGAAGAAGAAGGGGACGCTGGGCCCGGATCCCAGCAGGTGCCGCTCCCCACCATAGATCGGAGCCCCGTCCATAGGCCTACCAGGGGAGGGGGCTTGTATCACCTTCCCCTAGTAGACCGTTGCCGAGTTAAAAAAAGAAGAAGAAGAAGAAGATACCTTCACAGCGCTGCATAGTTGCAGGCACAATGTGTGCTGAGCATGTCAGAATTTGAAACGAGCTTTTTTTCTTTTTCTTTTTTGGAATAAACAGGTCCTTATGGTCCTGGCTCCATATCCATTCTGGGGAGCATCAGTCCGGTTCCTATTCCCCCAGCAAGTCAGCATAATAGAATTACATCTTGCACATACCCACGCCCCCTCCCATCCGGCCGAAGGGTCCCTCAACAGCATTGATTACTCCATTTTACTGGAGGATTGACTGTCAGCTTGCCTTTCCCTGTAGTCCCTCTCAGGTTCCTCTGTGGTGAACCTTCCAGCTAAGCAGTAATGCAAGGGGAACGAGATCAACAGCTGAGGTGATACTAATCCGCCTTATGTGGCTCTGACGTCTTGTTGTTCAGCCCGGTGGAACCTCCTTGGTCCCTTGGGGCCAGTAGAGTTGTGCCAATCTTTCTATCTGATGTGAAGTCCAGGAATATCGGCGATCTTCCCTGGAACCAACCATACCCTCCTAAACTTGGTTATCATCTCTTGCTGCTTCTCCGGGTTCTGCTGAAGTTGGAGCTTGACTTTCTTCCATCGGCAGAGGATCTCCGTTTCCATTAACAGCATCGTCGTTGCCCATACCAGCTCACTGGGATTGCTGGACTTGTCCAGCGTTCTGTTGCATCTCTCCTTCCATATCCCCCAGAGTGTCACCTTCTGGATTATCCCGAACCATATGCGTTCAGATTGTTAAATTTGGCGGGGATGTTAGTCCATAAGAGTAGTTGGATTGGGTGTTTGGGAAGGGAGGAGGGGAATAGGTGGTCCCAGAGGACTAATGCTCTCGGCCATAGGTCAGTAGCATATTTACAGGGTTATTAGGCAGTGTATCAAGCCTTCTTGTTCGTTGTCTGAACACACCAGACATTGCTTTGAGCTATTTGGGTCGTTGTTCCTTCTTCTGACATGTAACCAGCTGTTGACGGGAAGAGCAGTGTAGGTTATGAACCATTGGAGGCTCCTGATTTTGACTGGCCGTATTGATTTATAATTTTATATTTCCGCCAATGCATGGGATCTTGGAGATAGGTTCCATTCCCTGTCCTAGCAATTTTTTCCATTGCTTTGTAGTCTCAGAGGAAGTGGGGAATGTGATACGCAATGTGAATCGCAGAAATCTGTGAGCCATCCCTAGCTTGAACGCACGTGGCGCCCAAGGCTTCTGCCGAGGGCACACCCATCTGAGCATCACTTTAAAATCGAAAAAAAAAGAAGAAAACAGAGGAAGCCAGGCCTACAAGTCACCAGAAAAAAGTCGTAGGGAGTCACGGGATGCAAGGGACCACATCAACCTGGATAAGACCGCCAGTGCTTCTGGAATCCATAGATCTTAGCAGGAAGGAAGATGAGGTCAGCGGAATCTGTTTGTGATGATGAATAGGAATGACGCCACAAACGACATATAGATTCTAGACATGAAGAGTTGGAAAACAGATGAACACCTTGACAGCCAATGGATTCCTCTCAGCTCTGGCACGGTGCCATCATGCTCGACGGAGCAGAGCGAGAAGGAGAGGAACTTTTGGGGGACGTTTGTGCCAATGGTTGCTTAGGTGGTTCAGAAAGACTTCAGACATTATGTCCATTCCCAGTTTTGATGTTGTGTCAAAGTCACAAAGACCACCAAGATGGGAGAAGGGGATCGTCCTGAGTGGTAGACACTGAGTAGGACTGGGAAGTAGGGTGCGCCAAAGAGAATTAACGAGAGGAAAGGGTGGGAGGAGTTCTCATAATGAAGGGTAGAACCCTGAAAAAAAAAGCGAAAAAAGGAGGACAGGTTTGGGCTCACCTCTACTGATGGTCGATCATCCTTAGACAGTCGGACAACATGAATCTTGGGTCCAAAACGCTGGGGAGTGGAACCTTGGGGTGTATCATCGGTCATTATCACCACATTGCTTGACAGGACTCCGACCTGCCATAAGCCCAGCCATCATGATATGTGCACATATTATTTAAAAATAGTTGAAGACAAGCTTGAAAAATAATACGCAAGCTGACACACATGTTCACCTGTACACGCCCTACACGAAGATCACTCATGTGCCATGACCTGATAGAATTTACAACCCCATCAATCAGCCTTTTTTATACTAACAAAATGAGCTTTGGCAATGTGATTCATCATGCAGACATACTGACACGATTACTTCTTATGATTACAATCAACGTGAGCACTGCAATATGAAGATTTTACACTCACAGAGATTTGCCACTCTTCATACCAACCCCTCTAGCAGACTCCAGCCGGCTTTTGAGGAGGGGGGAGGGGGAGGGAATTAAAAAAAAAGATTTGCCACCCTGGCAAGCAACAAGTATGACTGTCCCAGGACCCTCTGCCTTGTTCAGGGACTAAAAACCCCACTGTGCAATGTGCAATGAAAATACCAAAGTTATTAGCTAGAGGGAATGGGCAAACAGCTCTATGTAAGTTGCACTTTTGACATCAAATACATACCGCTAAGTCTTGCTAAGTCCTAGCACAATGGCAGTGCACTGGTCCCGGGCAGTCGCAGTGCAAAATACATGGCCTCCGGGGATGATTGGTTCTCTGGCCATTTCCACCATAGCCTTGGCAACCATGGCGTCCATGACTATTGATTGTCGTTATCTCCAAAATTCTGATTACCTCCACTCACAACTCGAAAATTGCAGCAATCACCGTTCTGAATTCTGCACGGCCGCTCTATGAATACCAGCCTGAAAGGCGTTCTCACGCATGCTCAGTAACAAGCAGAGTATGAGTTTCAGACATACTACAAAGATGTTCCTTGGTACTGCCAGCATCTGATTATATTGTCCTTTCAAATTCGGCTAATCTTACAAAGCCTATATGTCTTTTATCCCTGCCCTTTTGACTTAGCTAGTTAGCATCCTATAATTTGTGCCTATTTCTACTTATCCACAACGCTTCCCGTTGTCGCGAACTAAAACGTTGAACTATTTCAGGTGTTCCAGATCTATGAGTCAGAACGGTGCATCAGTCACCGACATCTCATTTTGGAAACTTGCGAAAAATTGCGCGGTCACCCGGCCACCCACCTGAGCGGGCCCGGCCCTGCAGGGTCCGGGCAGGGTCTCGGACAGTCAAAGTGCATCATATAAAAACAAGAAAGAAAATAAAAAAAATACGGAGGGTCCTGGGCAGTCACAGTGCATAATCATGCCATAATGTTTGAACAAGAAGAAGAAAAAAAAATCCGGAAAAAAAAAACGAACATAGAGTAAAATTGCAATAGGCCGGATTCCGAGCGCTCAGCTCAAGTGCAGTCCTGGCATCAAGCCAATTTTTTGGGGGGGAGGGATCCTTGCCTCTTTTTTGACCCGCCTGGTTTTCCCGGGAGATTCCTTCTCCCTTCCCCCCCCCACCCCCCCCTGCTCAGCTGGCTTGGTCATGCCTGGCCGGGCGACTGCCCAGCATAGATCTAAATACATTTCCTATCCTCCTGCAATTTCCTGGTATTTCGTGTCCACAGGAGTTTGGCCAGTCGGCTTTTCCGACCAAACTGGCCAGCCATAGCTGCCAGTTGTATTCAACTTGGAACTGCTACTATATCCATTTTGAGTTTCAATAACAGATTCAAGTTCTCATATTATTTCCATCTCCTTGCTGGTGTGTCTGAGCTATGAAAATTGGGCGACAAATTAAGTGGGATCATTGCATTTTAGTGGATGCTCTTAGCAATACCGGTGCACACTGCAGGCGTTTTTCAGTATTTCCATGCTCGACCTTGAGGAGTAACCACATTTTAGTATGATTTACCAGTTTCAACTGTCAAGCTACTTTTTCCTAATTCAGGAACTGGTCTGGAAAGGTCTCTGGCCATCCACAGAGTATCTATTTCCTTAAGAAGAAAAAAAAAAAAAAAAAAAAAAAAAAAAAACCTTCCTCGTGCACTCACTGAGGAGGAAAATCTCCCAAAAAAACTTAAAAAAAAAAAAAAAAAAAAAAAAAAAAAAAAAAAAACCTTCTTGGTTCTGGCTCCTACCATTCTGGGGAGAGACAGAGTATATATATTTCCTGTTGTTCAGGCATTCACATTCTCAATAAGCTATTCACATTGCGAACACTTCTGCCGCTGGAATACTTTTCCTCCATTGACACTCTGGGCGGTCTACGGTTCCCGAGACCTTCCGCTCTCTCTCTCTCTCTGCCCTCATGGCCTCCCTGTACCAGTGCACGTTATGCAAACAGATAGGTGAAGTCGGGTAGGCATCGGCGCATGCATGCACACATGAGAGTCAAGAAACAAATCCAAAAATGGTGGGCAGAGGGTGGGGGGGGGGGGGGGGGTAGCAGGATGGATATGCTGGCAGGCAAGTAAGCAGGATGCCATCCAGTATGACCAGTGGAGATTGGGATGGTGAAAAAGGGAGGAGGAAGCAAGTGGATAGGGAAGAAAAAGATGTCTTCTTCTCACACACACCTCTGCACCTGCTTTGATGACTTGTCCATTAGGAAACAATGCAGACTGTGATGAATGATTATACACAACCGGAAATTTTGATTCAAGAGTGATATTTCTCCCAGAAATTGACGATATTCTTGAGACTTCTGCTTCCTCCGGATTCCATCTTGAAGGTGTTACAATAATATCGTCGCCTGGTAGCCATGTAGAAATATCACCATCAACTTGAAGAAAATTCCTGCTATGACGTTCGAGTCTCACCCATCTTCTTGTGCGTGGCATTCCATACAGAGAAAGTTGTCCCAAGACAGCTATGAACTGCAGCCACAAACAGCGACCCAAGACCCACAGCATCCGACAGGGAAGTTCACATGATGTTGATCAACCATTGTGTTCACCCTGGAAATAGCTTCTTTCAGCAATTTCTGCAGACAGAAACAGAACAACTACGTGAAAGGTAGCATTATATGAAACTGCATGAGTTTCAATAACAGATTCAAGTTCTCATAATTTCTGCCATCTCTTCTTGATCGTTGGGTCGGGATCCTTTGTTTTGAGGAGTAAGTTGTACCCCAGTTTGACTGTGTATTCCTGGATGGGTACATTCGTTTTGAGACTTCTGCTTCTGTCTGGTGTCCAAGCCCACTCTGCTGGATCAAATTCCAAGTCTTGAATCGCCGTATCTATTCTGGAGATTGTTTTTCTACTTTTCTGAGAACAAAAGGGTTTAGGACCGTTCTTTCCACATCCTTATTCAGGATAGATGGGAGGCCTTGCGTGGAGGGGGTAATTGGGAAAGAGGTAAACACAGCCAGGGTATCGGACCCTTGCTGTTTGTGGGGAAAAAAATGATAGGCCCTTGAGGGGGTTAGATCCTGCACCCTCACTCCCCATGCACTCGATTTCCAGGTTGAGGCTTTGCTCAACAACTGCTTCCAGCCTTCTGGGATGCGGTTAATAATGGATTGTAGATTCTCGTCTCATCGGTGATATCCTTTGAGCTGGGAGGCAAGTTCCTGTTCTGTCACCTTTCCAAACTCCGTGTTTGATCCACGATAGCCATCTCCTTCCTCTAGGGGTAAGGGATAGCCGGTGATCATTTCCGTCTCTCACCCACAGATTACGAAACAGGGGTTGCCTCAATATCTCGTCCTTGGATTTGGGTCTACCCACCTTCTTCGGCATGACTTCCCACAATATCCGTAGCAATGCGGTCCAATATGGTGTGGGGGGGCTGGCTTCGTTTGGAACTTTGGACCTCTTCCTCTTCGTTGATTTCTGCGCCCGGTACTTGAGCTCCATTCCTTGGTCATTACCCAGAACAGACCGGACATGCTTGTTGGTGAGGCTGTTGGTGCTAGGCCCCTTATGCTATCCAAGGCCAGTTTATTCCATAGCTACGATCCGAACAGCCGGACAGGGATCCGGACTGACCGGTGTCCGGTGTCCGGTTCAGGCTTCCGGATCCTGGTCCGGATGGTGGGAAAATGTGGGGTAGCCCATTTTTTCTTCAGGCGGCCCAGGGCATTTTCTTCCATTCTGGGCCACCATGGAAAAATGCTGGGCGATTTTTTAAGCATTAGATGTGGCATCCAGACAGGGCCGGACGGAGGCCCTAAGTTTTCTTTTCCCGCCCTGCCCTCGTTTCAAAGCAAACAAACCTCTTTCTGGTATTTTGTCTTTTGCATAAGGCCCTTACTATGCACTATCAGACGCGCCCGTATCTTCCCAGGATAGGCTGCTTAGTACATTACTACATTCCCCCCCACATTATCCCCCAAAACCAAGAAAGTCTGGAAAAAAAAACGAAAAAAGAAGATCCTACTTTCAGAAAGAAAACAGCACCCGTCAGCATGGGCACCTGCAATGACTCTGGGGGCTTTGGGCCTCGCTCCACTACTCGCCAAATGCAAAATGAAAATGAATCTTCCACTACGACATGGAAAGATACACCACCATATTTTCTGTCTTTTGTGCATGTGGTGAGTAGTGAAGCCAAGCTGTATGGGCGCTCTCCAACAGTACCGATTTTTTTCGTTTTTTTGTTGTTATTTTTCCTTGTTTTGGGCAGATTGGCATGGCTTGTCCTTTCAATGCGCGCGCACCTTCCAAGGATTGGACGTTGTACATTCCAGCAAACGACGCCTATAGCTACTGTTCCGTCTATGTCGCCCTCTGAGGAATAGGGTGATTGTCCTGAGTGCTTGTATCACTGAGGTAGGATAGTAGGCGTAGGGGGTGCATTAGGAGAATTGAAGTGAGGTAGGGTTGGGAGGCCGTCCTGCCGCCGCGCATCACGATACCCACTAGCTGGTTGAGCTGGAATAGTACCAGGAAGGTGTCCCCTCCGATATCAGAATAGGTGGGAGCCATGAGGCGGCACCTGGCGGGGGGGTGTGGTCTATGATTGGTGCCAGTGGAATACCACCAACTCAGGAACAAACCTCCCCATGAGAACTTCCGATTCGGTTGCCAGTAATAATACTGGGTAGGTTGCCTACTGGGAAGTCTCCCTCCGACGCTCCAATGACAGTACCCAAGGGACTTTCTGTTCCACGTTTCCTTCTACCCGCCACTTAGCAGGTTCTTTGAGTTCTGTTTTTGTCTATTTTTCACACGTTGTTTTTTTCACGTGGCCGTTGGCAAAAAGCCAACAGCATTCCAACGGGCCTAGCCCACTTTGCACACCCATGACCCTATTGAAATACAGACCCAAGTTCGAATCCAGATACAATCAGATGACCAGAATAAAATAATTATGAATTACCTGGGATCGGTCAATGATACCTTAAGGCTGTCGCCCTTTCGAAAAAACATTAATTCAGCTTTCTGTTGCACGCCCATGAACTGTTGAGATGCAGACTTGAGATTGAGCATTCCCCCCAGAGTGGGTTTCCCCCCCCTCCCCCCCAGAAAATACAGGGGTTCCGGACAGGCATCCGGACAGGGGTTCCGGACCGGTCCGGATATTCCGGAATATTTCGGTTTTCCGGAAGTCCGGATAGGGCCAGGAAGTCCGGAGTCCGGTCCGGCGTCGCTATGGTTCATTCCATGCCGTACTTGACTATCCATTTAACTTGTAGGGCTTTGGTTTCCTGTTTGGGGTCTATGATACCAAGACCTCCTCTGACTGGTTTCCTTGTGATGTAATGCCAGACTATCTTTGGTATACAGTTCTCTTTGTTGGGGTCTCCCGACCACAAGTACACTCTTGCTTTGCGGTTAAGTTCCTTGATTGTATGGTCCGGAACTGTCCAGATTGACGCTATATACCATATCATTGAAACAATAGATGTGTTAATGGCTAGTGCTCGGTCCAGCAATGATGTGAATGTGCTACCCCATCTAAGGGGCGAAGC